TCTTCTCATTTATTCCCCTTCTCTGCCAATCATCCCTGCTTTACCCAAATAAGTTTTCTGATGTTTTTAACCACAGATTTATTCTGCTTATTCTAGAACTTCATGTAATTGGATTTATACAGTGATAGCAAAATATTTGCGATATTCATCAATGTGTTTTTTGTATCAGTAGTTTGTTCCTTTTGTTGATAAATAATATTCATTGTGTAATATGTATTTCTTACTTATCCTCCTGTTGACAGACATTTGAATTTGGCTAATTTTTAAAAATTTATAATTAAGACTACTCAAAATTCTTGTGCAAGTCTTTCTGTAGAATATGTTTTCATTCTTTTGGTTTCCATTCCTAAGAGCGGAATTACTGAGACGTAACATTGGTAAGCATTTATTTTGTAAAAGAAGTTAACATATTGCTTGCCAAAGTTGCCGTATCATTTTACACTCTCAGCAGCAATTTATGGGAGTTCTGCTTGCTCCATATATTTACAAACAACTGTTGTCAGTATTTTCTCATTGTTCGTATTTTTGCAGGTGTGTAGAGTGGTATGTCATAGTGGTTTGCCTTCCATCTCCAAATGACTAGTGATGTTGAACACATTTATTTGATCCTTGGCCATTCATATACCTTCCTTTTTGACCATCTGTTCAAGTCTTCTCTCTATCTTTTAACTGGGTGATTTTACTTTTTATTATTGATTTGTAGGAGCTGCTTATATATTCTAGATAAAGTCTATTATCAGATCTATGTATTACAAATATTTTCTCCTGGTATGTTTCATGCTTATTAATTTTCTTCATTCTAAGTTTTGAAGAGCAAACTTTTAAATTTTGATGAAGTCCAATATACCAGTTTTTTTCATGTACCTTTTCTGAGAAATCTTTCTTCACCCCAAGATTACAAAGGTGTTACCCTGGGTTTTCTTTTACAGGCTTTATTAGAAATTTTAGTTTTTCTTTAATCTATGATTTACTTTGTTGTCTACGGTGTAAGATAAAGAGTATGATTTATTTTGTTAGCAGGTTAATATTCAGTTGTTCCAGCACTATTTGTTGAAGCTGTTTATTTTTCCCCAGTGAATGGTGTATCAAATCTATTCAGATTCTTGCCCACTTTTACTTGGGTTATTTGTCTTGAGTTGTAGCAGTTCCCCATATATTCTAGACACATAACCCTTATCAGATATATGATTTGCAAAATTTTTCCCTATTCTGTGGGTTGCTTTTTCACTTCCTCAATGATGTCTTTTCATGCACATGAATTTTTATAACTTCCTAGCTTTTTAAATGGTGAATTATTTTTTCTCTCTTTGGGTCATTTACAAATAGACCGAAACATACATGAGGTCATAAATATTTGCTACAGAACATGTGGTGAATTGATTTATATAAGGTAGTTTCAGCTTGAGATAAGATATATAGTCAGTTTGATATAAAGCAATATAAAATGGGTAGAAGTGGTAGCTTTAGAGGAAAGAAGTATCAAAGTAAGGTTTGGTGTTAGAAGGTATTGTGTGGAGAAGACCCTGTAGTCTTGCTCATCTGGAACCACCCCACTTGCCTAGTACCCCAAGGCCCCTATTCAGTGTCACTGTGAGAAGAAATAATGTCTTCATGGAACAGAATTTATGCAGATAAGGACAATCATAAAAGATTATAGTTTGCAATTGTCTGCATCCTCCTATTTAGAATAAACAGACCCCCCACAGCATTAACTGTTTACTAGTGAAGCCAGGTGTGCTTGCTCATTTCCACGCCAGTCATTTTGTTGCATGCATATGACACAGGATTTTTGATAGATGAGTGTGTATTTATGTATGGGAGAGCATTTTTATTATGCTTGTGGATGAAGCCAGAATTCTGGGTTGTTATCATTGTAGAATGAGTAGAATGAAGTGGGTTTTTTCCTTGTTATTTTCCTTCTCTTTCTCCTTCTCCTCCCCTAGTCTTGTCACTTCCCATCTAAACACAGGAATATACTAATCAGGGAAATATGCACGGCTGTTTAGTAAAGGGGTCAAATCCATTTGGATGGAATTCCAGGCCCAACGTGCTAACAATGGCAGGAAACCGGGCCCTCGGGTTGACTACAGCGTGGAGCTGCTGAAGGATAGTTTGCTGAAAGAGCCGGCCCCTGGGTAAGCTGCTTTGTCTTGGTTTGTGTTTGGAATGCTGTGATTGTTCCAGACACAATGAGGGATCTGTCTGTCCACACAGGAGAAGGCGTAATTACAGGAACAGAAGCTAAATTACTGCTCTTAATTGCAAATGAATCTACAACCATCTGTATACAAGGCTGCTAATTTGTCCTCTGGACTTCACAGGGACAGCTGGGATTTATAATGTAATGTTTTTGGTACATAGGGAAGTAGATCTCCCTTATATTCACTTCACCCACGTGTGGTAATGCCAGGCTCCCTCGGGACCACCTGTCTTGTTGATTCTGATGACTCAGGCTGGCGCATGGTATTGTTGCTGTTGAGAAGACAGGTGTTGAAGGTCTGTCATTGGTGTCCCGACTCCTTGAGATGTGATCATAACATCCTGTAGAGAAGTCTCCTTGCATGTATCACTTAGAAACTATCCTAATTAGGAACAAGGATTGAGGTCTGGCCTGATATTGTGCTCTGGAAAAGATAGCTACAACAAATGAGAGTTTGTAGCCAAAACAATTGCCACATTAGTCTTGTGAAGTAGGATCTTTGTATCTCTGTTTTATTAGGAAGCACATACAAAATTCACCACCTTGAATGGCTTAGAAATTTTTCATTCATTCATTCATTCATTCACAAATGTTATTTAAGGACCTACTATATGCCAGGTATTGTATTATATTAGGAATGGGATGAAAAGTAGCAGAAGAGATGGTCTATTCCATGAGCTTACAGTCTCAGTGGGGATCAAAACATATCGAGGGAGAGGGCTGTGTGGTAGTATTGTGACAGAGTTCTGCACATTTCATGGCTTACAGATAAGAGGGATGAAGAAAATTCCAATAAAGAGCCAAACCCCTTCCCTCGCATGTCATTGCCCAGAACTGAGATGTGGACCAATACTACACCAGTCATGGGTAAGGCATATGGGCTGCCTCTGGGCCAGTCAGACCCACCTGAGGAGGTGGGGTAGGGACAGCTTTCCCCACAGCACAGGGCCAAGGTGGAGCTCTGGTCACCTGGGTGAAATCCAAGTTCTGTTGGACAGGAGTAGGGGGAATTATGCCAGGAGACAAGCACTAATGCCCAGTGTCTTACACTGGCATATCAGAGAGCTCACGCTGGCAGCAGTGGGGAGCATGGACGGACTGGAGCTAGATGGCAGGGAGAAGGTGCTGCAGAGTTTGAGCAGCCGTGAGGTTTTAAACTGCAGTGGTGACAGTCACCAAGGAGAACGGGGAGCTTCAGGGAGCTGTGGGGGAGAACTTAAAATAGCAATTCTTAAATGGCTGGGGGCAGTGTGCCCCTTTGAAAATCTGATATAAGCAGTTTTACATTAAATGTCACGCTTGCTTATTTGCATCATTTTAGCAGCAGTGTGACCTTCATGACAGGGAAGCGGGGCTGCTCTGCTAGGCCCTTTGTATGGGCCACAGTTCTCTGTTCAGGTGGCACCAGTGACTTCTAACCACATCATGGGGGCTGGAGGGATGAAGAATGAGAAGCAGCATTTATCAGGGGCTGACCGCTTGTATCATGCTCTGAGGCCTGCCAAACAGACGGAAAAACAGATGTTAAAGACACTGTTCAACATCCTGCCTCTGGAAAAGGCAGCTGCAGAGTTTGAGCTTCAGATTGAATCACACGACCAAGCAGCCTCCGGCTGGTGCTGCCATATTTGGTGCAAATATGAATTAGTGTGATTACTAGCTTTTTTATTTCCTGGAATCCTTTGGTGACCTCTATATGTGCAGCTGAAGGGGACACTCACTACCTCATTCCAGACAGTTTTGGGAGCTGACAGCGGAACGGTCAAGGAATGACATCAAGTGACTTTCCTCAAGGTCATTTCCTGCCCACGATCTCTGCAAAGATTGCATTCCTTAAAGATGTGTGGGGGGCAGAAACAGACCCTGTTCTGTCAGACAAGAGATGTCTGGGCAGCTGTAATTAGCAGACATGTGTGTGTGCGTGTGTGTGTGTGTGTGTGTGTGTGTGTGTGTGTGTGTGTGTGTACATCCTCTGTGCCACGCTTTGCTGGTAAACACACACACCCCACACTTGGCTAAAAACAAACCAAGTCTGCTAGGCTGCATGACTCATGCTTGAACTAAAGCCTTCACCCTGAGTCAATAATTCTCGTTTTAAAGGCAAATGCAGAGCTCAACAGTGACCGAGGATACACTGCCTAGGGTAGCTCTTTGTATTAGTTTGGCTTATTAGAAAGAGTACTTGCTTAGGTTCCTGCAGCAGAAATACTTCGGTGGGCTTCCACTGCCTCTGCCCCTTTTCCTTTCGAGTCTCATAGAAGAATGGGAACAAATACAGGGGTTAAGAGAAGGCAGCATGGCGAAGGGAACAGATGGTGAGGTTTGGAGTCCAGAGGTCCTGGTTCCACGTGGGGGTTCTGCCCTTTAGAATCACGATGGTGGCTGATTTACCCATCTGAACATCAGTCTACTCACTTGCGAAATCACGTGATACTGAAGAGCGTTTATGAGACTTGAAGATAAGGTGTGCAATGTACCTGGGCACAGAAATCTTGACAATATGGCATCAGTATTTGCTTTGCTGCACCCCTTCGGCTTACCTGAGTTACAGTTTTCTTCCTTCCCTCTTTATTTTACATTAAGGGCTTCATTTATTTCTCTAAACGAGGGACACATTCAGTCTCAGTGGTGTATGGCATACACACCACTGAGGAGCTTTACGGCCTCTCCCATCCCTTTTATTTGACATCACCCGACAGGAGGACATGGGTTAGAGCAACCGTGATGGGGAGGGAGAAACAGAAAGTGTGAGGTCAGGAGACCTCGCATCTCTCTCTGCCTCTGCTCTAACTCGATAAGGCCCCATGGAAAAATCACCTACACTCATGGAGCCTCTTTATTTGCGTGTAAAGGGAGGGACTTGAACTAAGAGATCATTCAGAGCCTTCAGGCTTCTGCTGAGCTGTTTCCGGGGGCTCTTCCCTCTGAAGTAGAGACTTAAATGCTGGCGATGATCCAGCCGGTGCATTAAATGCTACCACTTCGCTAAGTGTGTAGATGTGTTTCTGTACTGGCTGATACTTAGGACCAAATTTCCTACAGTCAGCAAAAATGGGACGAGCGCCCCAAGTAATGTCTTTACTGTAACCGTTCCTCAGGAGTATAAGGCAGGCAGGGCTGGTCTTCACTAACCAATGTACACATTTCCAGGAAAATTATTTTTTCTCCTTGCTGTTCACCCACACGGCTTGTGCATGCGGCGATTTTTAAAACACAGTTGACATGTAAGTGGGTGGATTTCTCTGAAACATAATTTGTGTTAATTATGTCAGCTAGTTAATATGGGTGTCCTGGCATGAGCTTGTCAAGACATTAAGTACCATTCCTCTTGTTTTTCTCATGCTTATGAATGAATGGTAGGCTAAGAAGTACAATTCCAGTTAATAAAACATCAGAGGGGCTCAGTGTGTCTATTTCTGTTTTGCCCAAGGATGTGAACGTGAAACTATTCTCAAAATAAAAGCTAACCAGCCAGATTAGTTTGCTTGGGCTAAATATTAGCATTAGAAACATTCTTGAAACTTTTTAAAATCCTAGTTTATTAGAGATAGAAGGGGTCTGAAGGATTTCTAGGCAATTCCTTCACCTTGTCTCACTTTTCCTTCTTTTAGCTCAAAAATGAACTATGCATAAAATATATTACTTTAAAGAAAATTTTCACCTTAAGAAAGACCCGTGTAGGAAGGCAAATTGCACGAGTCATAGAGTATCTCAGCTGGGAGTTTTTTCAAGAAGAAAATAAGGAACTTATATTGTCTGTACTCTTAGAAGTTTACCAAATTATTTGTATCAGGGTTTTTCACTCTTGTTTGAGACATTTATACATTGTGAATGCTTAGTTTCAGTGTGAATTTTGCCAGCAGGTGGCACCAAATGGTTTCATTAGAAAACGTGAAGGCAAACTTGCGTCCTTTCTGCTTATAAAAAAAAAAAAGCCTTTTAAGTGAGTGTTGCTGGTTAATTCACCCAAATTCAGGAAACACGTGCCTTTCTTATTTGGTAGCTTTTGGCAGTGCACTGCTGCAGTTCAGGGTGAGTTATTTCCTGGAAGTTTGTTAAAAGGGAAGTATGGTGAAATGAAAGGCTTGAAAAAAGTTTTATTAAGAGTTTTGCAGACTGATTAAAATGCAGTCTCTCAGCCACAAACCCATCAGCCATTCTCAGCTGTGAGTGCCCAGGATGCTGACACAAATGGCTGTGGGATGCTGGTGGTTCCATTTTCCCTTTTTGTCACTTATAGCACAATCATATTTTTTTTCAGCTCCCAATCTAGTTTCTGTGGTCTGGTTACAATGTTGTTCTGTTTGGGAAGAGAGTATAATAATGCAACCTTATCAACCCAGGCCCTGTTTTGGAGGATACACTTGTATCTTCAGATGTGGGTGGTGAGGTGGATGATTTTCACTGCCTCTGTCACAGTTACCAGAAGAAAGTGCTGCCCTACTAAAGATCCTAGAAACATTGGCTGATTTCCGCCAAATTTTAATTCTTCTGAGACTTTTCAAAAATCACAAAGCATGTACATTCATTTGACAAATATTTATTGAGTGTCCACCATGCCAGGCATTGGGCTTAGGAGACAGACACAGTGATGATGAAGGCCGTGTGGTTCCAGCCCTGAGATGCTTACTGGCTAGGGGAAGAAGAACCAGATACTAACTGACTCACCCATGTGACTGTGCAACAAACTGAGGAAAGGGCTTTGAAGGAAAGGAACCCCCAAAGTTGACCTAGATTCCTAGATTCCAGGGGAGATGGAAGCCAGCAAGTTTCCCCAAGGGAATGGTCCAGCCTGGAGCTGAGATTGAAGGGTGCAGAGGAGTTAAGTAGGCAAATTAGGGGAGAGGTGAATAGAATGTTTGGACCAGGGCATAGCAAGTTCAAAAGCCCTGGGATGGGAGGAGAATGGAGAATTTGAGACACTGAGGTGCAGATGGGGAAGGAATCCAGCAACGGAAGGCAAGAATAGATGCAGTTGCATGAGTAAAAACTTACTATAATTTTTTGCACGTTTCTCAGTGTTTATTATATTCTCCTCCACCAAAAAAAAAAGTCAATTCTATCAACGACCTGATCTCTCCTAGGTCCACTACAGCTCTTATAGAATTATTAGCTCAAAGTAAGAGTCCAGATATTTCCAAAAAGTTTTGATGTTTTCTCTCCTAGTATGGTGTCCCATGTAAATGGATGGGAGTCCATTTGGGGAAGGCTAGGAGAAAGTCACAGAATATACTTGCATTAGTGGTAGAAAGTGATTCCTTTAAGCCTTTCTTTCCCTCCTGGGATCTGTGAAGTGACTGGGATTTAAATGGCCCCAACTTCCTGATATGGTGGCAAACTTGATTCACCAGACCTGGAATTTTTTAGTTAAATACTTCAAGCTGGTCCAGAAACTCCCTGATAAATCTAGCACACCCTAAGCTCCCAGCTGGTCAGTCTATCTTGATGAGCCCTGATGTTTCTGAAGGTAGCCGTACCCATGTGCACCTGACTGTCCAGTGTGACTGCCTGCCTTTTGCCGCCTCGGGACTTGCCGATGTTCATGGTATCAAGGAGCCTCTTTCAATGGCAGCGCCTTCAATCAGTATCTCCAGCTCCCTGACAATAGCTGCTATGTTGCTTTTCAAAGATGCTGGCATTTCCCTCACCAGAATATCTCAGGCCTGGAGGATGAGATCATCTATAGCACTAAATCTACAGCCACATTCCTATGTCTTGACATCTCTGGATTCTTTTCTCCTATTGAACCTCACTATTTCCGGCATCTCAACTTTCCCTAGACTGCACTCTCAGTTGAGCCCCTGTCTTCCGGAGCCAGTGAACTATGAGAACCACTCTCAGCTGCTCAAGCTAACGTCACTAGTCGTGCTGGTGAGCATTCCTAACCAAAAAGATGTTTGTTCCTCCGTGGTCAATAGACTCAGGTTTTCTTTCCTCACGTTCCCAGATCTTTGCCAGTTTAATTGAGTAAAACCCTGTCAACCTTTTGGTGGATGAATCTTCTACTGTATTTAGTTTATAAAAACTCCCTCTTCCCCCTTCCCCTTGGAGATGCTAGGGTCTGACTGTAGTTACAGGTCTGGGGATATCAAGGATCAGTGTGCATGGCTGCTAGTGGTGGGGACAGAACATGGAGAGAATCTGTTCCCTCTTCCAAAGTAACTTATGGCCTCTGCGAGGAGGTGGCAGTGGGCTCAGGCCGGACACGAAGGGCTTCAGCAGGCAAGGAAGAAGCCGACACTAAGGGAGGCCAGGGGGTGCTCAGAGGGGGTTGAAGGCTGGGAAAACTGGATGTCTCTAAATCCCCTCATCCATCCCCATTCGAGTTCTCTTCTGATCGGTGTCCTTACACATACTAAAGAAACATTATGCAGGCATGAGTTCAGCTGCTAATGTAATTCAGTAACCTCAGATCAGACTTAGCCTTTACTTTCCAGCGACCTCAGTCCCATCCTATTGGCACTGTCCCCGAAGTCCCTGGTCAGAGTCCATGACTTGTGCTTCTCCTGTTTTTCTGTGTCAGCATCGTGACCACATCCCTTCACCCCTTTCTCTTCCGTGCACACATACCAGACTTGTAGCTGCCAGCATTTGCATTGTTGCCCAAAGACGTTCTCTGTCCTGCAGGGCTGCTCTGTTCACGCACAGCTGACTAGAAGGCCAAGGACATAGCATTCCTTGGAAGCAACACTCCACCAATGACTGCTGGGAACTGGTGTACAGACTCTGCAGCCGCCTTGTCCCCAGGGTGGGGTGGTTCTGATGTGTGTCTCACTCCCTTACCCCATGCACCCCTGTGGGCTTGGGCTTTGCTTGCCCAGGGTGGTAACTGGCTTGGTGATACACCCCGTTGCTTGGCTCCCTTCTCCTCTCTGTTCCACTTCCCCACTCTCCTGCTGGTGTTTACAGGGATTGCCTCCCAAATAAACTCCTTGCATTTGAATCCTTGTCTCAGAGTCTGCTTCCAGACAAATCTAAACCAAGAGAAGGCCTTGTTGGAAAAGAGCCAGGCAACTCACAGATGGATGAAGATCCAGGCCTTGAACAAGGGTAAGGGACAAGAGACGCTGGGGAATATAAGATACACTGCCATTACTAACTACTGATTCATTTGTTCAGGATGCCCCTCTTGGCCGCCACATCTTCTAGATGGTGCATTCTAAGTTGGGGCTGTGTTACTACCCCTGAGGGGGACAAAGTACATAAATCCTACTCTGAACAACTTAGGAAAAATATCCCTAAAAATTCTCCTGAGGAGAGTGATAATGAAAAAAAGATTGAGAAACACAGCTCTAGACACTTCTGCCATGCATGCTATATTGCTTCCCCTGATGCTGCCTTGAATTCTAATCTTAGCATAACTCACTAAGGATCACGGTCTGATGGGAACATGACATTAGCAGAACGCATATCACATGACCCAGTTCTAGCTGTAGTGGTGGGGACAGGAGTCATCTTGTCCCCTTCTCCTTCCACAGCAGCTGGCAAAGTACCGCTTTCCCCTAAGACTCATGAAAAAGGGGAGTTCTCTTAAAGTATGACTGAGGTCTAGGTGCAGGCAACCCCAAATGATAGCTTCACCTCTGAACAGCTATAGGCCTTGAAGAGTTTGGGGGCTCCGTCTTGGGAGTGCCTGGTACTACCTCTTTCCAGAAAGTAGAGTTTACTCAGTGGTACTTGTAGGGAGACATCAAATATGTCTTGGGTGATAAAAGTCTACCAGAGGTTTATAAACTGGTCATCACGGAACTTTCAAAGTAGGAGACATTTTACGTTGATGTTCTTGAGTGGAAAAAGTGAGATAAGAGAGTTGTCCTTTTGATGTTCCCTTGGATTCGGACCTTTAAGTGCATGCACATATATGTCTTGGGAATTGGGATTTAGAGTTACTGATTCCCCAGCTAGTTGTGCCCCCAAGGTATGGTGGGGAGATCACCCTAGTCAGGAGATCTCAGCATTGCTGATGGCCAGTGGTGGGACCACAGGTAAGTTCCCTGGTCCTGTTACCTGTATGAGGAGGGTGTTCAAATAAAGGAATTTAGGGCTTCTTTTATTTTTACCATTTTATTTATCACGGGAGGTAGGAAGAGAGGATAGAGGAAAAGAAGGAAGGGAGGGACGAACAAAAAATTTTATAGATCATCTTATGTGTGGTGACCCTATAATTCTTTTAACAATACCTAGAGGGAGACTATTATTTTCATTGCAAGTTGAGAGTGGTCAAGTCACCTGAGTCACCCAGAAATGAAACAACACCCAAACCAAGATCTGTCTGGCTCTGAAAGTCATGTACTTGCCACTGAACCACACTATCCCAAGTTCTGTGGGGAATATTAGAATCAGCAATGGTATGCTTTAGGTGCTTTTTCTTCCTCTGATTTTGGGTCCCCTCCCTTAAATGCCTGGGTGTCTCCCCTGGCACTCAGATCCTAAGCTGTTTCATCCCCATGCGCATGTCCTTGCCAGTGCCCTACACTCACTTTCTTTCCTTCTCTATTCTCAGCTTCCCTGGAGTCAGGAGACTGTGAAGTGCCCTGAATGGACTATCCAAGCTCTTAGAACTTGCTAATCTGGTAAATATATATGTTAATGAAAGAAGGATAAAGCAGTACAGAGTCTTACTGCCTTGAGGCTGTGGAATGAATTAGATGTTACTTTCAATCCAATATCTCTAAAACATGCATCCTTATAAATTGAGTATATGACTGAATACACCAACTCATAGTAGATAATGCTTCTAGGACAGCAGTAAAAGCCCTGGACCAAGAATTAAGGTAGCAGAGTCCTTGCCCCAGTTCTGGCAGGAAGGAGAGTGTGGAGCAGATGTTCTGAGCAGTCACAAATCACCCCCAGGGATGGCCCCCAGTTCTATTCCAGCCTGGGGTCATTTGCCAGGTTTTTATGTGTGTGCCCTGAAGAGAGATCAGAATGCAGACTGAATTAACATTTTGGAAATTTAATTAGAAACAGATGACCAGTGGCAGTTTCTGGAAGGATGTGATTGCTTTCTCTCAACCATCAGAGTGTAATGATTGAATTTCCCTCCATGGTAATCCAGAGGCCATGTGGTCTGGTGGGAAAGGCAGTGTATTGGGAATCAGAGGACCTGGGTTTGGGCTCTGGTCCTCAGCAAATTGAGTAAACCTTCTGAGCTCCCTCCCTCCATTCTTTCCTTCCTTCCTTTTAAATCAGTGTTATTGAGGTATAATTTATATGGAATTAAAATGCACCCATTTTCAGAGTACAGTTAATAAATTTTGATTAATGTATGCTTCCATCATAATCAAGATCTATGACTTTTTCATCAAACCCCCAAATTTTGCTATCTCCCCTATGTAGTCAATCCTTCCCCCTTCCCAGCCCCAGGCAACAGTGGGTCTGCTTTCTATCATTCTAGATTAGTTTAGTCTATTTTAGGACTTTATATAAACAGAATCATATAATAGGTATTCTTTTGTATCTGGCTTATTTCACTCAGCATGTTTTTGAAATTCATTCACATTGCTGTGTGAATTAATAGTTCTTCCTTTTTCTCTTTCTTTTTTATTGCTGTGTAATATTTCATTATACAAATACCCCTCTGTTATCCACTCATGTATTCATGGGCATTTGGTGTTTGTCCCTTATAATATGAGTTTCATACAACAGTTTTTGTTGGCATTTCTCTTGGGCAAAAACCTGGGAGAGGAATAGCGGGGTCTTATGGTAAGAGTATATTTAAACATAAAAACAACCAAACTTTCCTAAACTGTACTACTTTATATCCACACTCTTATTGTTTTACATCCTGGCTAACACTGGTTATTGCCAATAGTTTGTTTAAGCCATTCCAGGTCATGTGACATGGTTTGTGAAGTGCATTGGAATTTTAATTTTAATATTCCCAATGACTAATGATGCCTCTTCATGTGCTATTTTTCTTTTTGAATCATCTGTTCATATATTTTGGCCATTAACATTTTTTTTAATCATTTAGCTGTAAGAGTTCTTCATATATTCAAGACAAGTCTTTTGTCTGATATCTAGAATATAAACATTTTGTTTAACTTGAGGTATTTTTCAAATAGTTGAACTTTAAAATTTTGATAAAGTTCTCCCTATTAATTTTATTCTTTTACACTTAGTGCTTTTTGTGTTTTGTCTGAGAAGCTTTTGCCGACTCCAATGTCCTATGTTTCTTTCCAGAAGCTTTTCTCTATAGACTTAGCAGTTATATCTCTTTGCTTTTATCTTGGGGATTTTCTTTATAATTTACAATATGCATAGTAAAGTCATCACAGTCTATGTTCAAATAACAGTGTCACTTCACTTGTAAATATACAAACTTTAACCCACATTTACTTATGTATTTACCCTTTGTGACATTCTTAATATCCTTATATAGAACTGAGTTTTTATCTGTTTGTATTTTGCTTCTGCCCAAAGAACTTTTTTAAAAACATTTCTTATAGTGCAAATTTGCAGGTGAGACATTATCTCAGCTTTTGTTTCACTGATAAAAATTTAATTTTACCTTCATGTTTGAAAGATATTTCTTTGGGATATAAAATTCTATGTTGATACTTTTCTCTTTATTTCAGTACCTTAAAGATTTTCTTTCAATGTCTGTTGGCTCATGTTTCTTCTGACAAGAGATAGTGGTAATTCTTTTGTTTTCTGGGTATAATGTGTCATATTTTCCCCCCTGGCTGCTTTTAAAGTTTCTTTTTCTCACTGTTTTTGAGCAATTTGATTATGATATATATACCTTGGTATGATTTCCTCTGTGTTTATCCTGCCTGGGGTTTGCTGAGCTTCTTCAATCTGGGAATTCATGGTTTCCATCAAATTTAGAAATTTTTATCCATTATAATTTTAAATATTATTTCCACTTTCCCTTTTTATTTTCTTGGACTTGTATCACACATGTGGTAGATTGCTTAACATTATCCCACAAGCTACTAAGGCACATTCATTTACTTCTTCAATCTTTTCTTTCCATGCTCTAGTTTGGAAAATTTTTGTAATTATGTCTTTAGGGTCACTGACCTTTATTTCTACATTATTTAATTTGCTGTTAATCCCATAAAGTGAATTAAAAAATTTAGATATAAAAGTGGTCACCTCCAGAAGTCCCATTTAGTTCTTTTTTATATTTTATATTTCTGTCCTCATTATATTCATGTTTTTCTTTAAATTCTTGCACATATGTATAATAGCTGTATTACTTTGTTCTGATAATTTTCTCAGTCATTTCAGTGTCGGTTTCAATTTTCATTTTGATTATCTGCCACATTTTCCTGTATGTTTCGTATGTCTGTGATCACTGATGGGATGATGGAGGATGTGATTGTTATGTTGATGAATGACTAGAACTTCTTTTCCTTTCTTTAATCAGGTTGAATTTTGTTTGACAGGTTTATAAACTATTTGTAGATCAGTTTGGTCCTTGATAGACTGTTCTAAAGTTAACTTAAGGAAGACAAGAGTAACCTTTACCTTAGGGTTAATTTAGCCTGACCCCCTAAGGTGCAAGTCTTCTGAGACTTGTACTAATGCCTGTTGTTCACTATGTTCTTTATGTTAGCTGGTTGAAATGCAAACTTTACTATAGCTAGGATGAGCTCTAGGGATTGTTCATCTTATGATCTATTGTAGTTGTTCTATGTCTGGTTGCGTAGAAATTCACTCTTCATATACACTATTTAATATTCAGCAAAAATTCAAGCGTAGTCCTACTCAGATTTCTGAAGCATTTTCTCTGTGTATCTCTCTCTTCTCCAGTGCTCTGTCCCATAGAGTCTAACCAACTTAGCCTCCCTGAATTCTGATGTTTATATTCTCAGTTCAGTGAGACTGCCACGTACTCCTTGGTCCCCTTATGCTATGCCGACGTCTAGAAACTGCCTCTGAGTAGAAAGCTAGGAAGGTTGTAGTGCTCATGCTACCTGCTTTTGTTTCTCAAGGATTACAGTTTTGCACTGCCTGTTTTCAAGTAACTGCAAATAGTTGTTTCATACTTTTTTGTCTTGTTTATATTTGTTTACAGTATAAAACAAGTTTAGTACTAAATAATTCAATTTGGATGAAAGTGGAAGTCCTCTAAGTCTATTTTTATTGAATAAATTATAGGTCCAATAATATTTGCCTGGCCTATTTCATTAGATGTTTATAAGATAAAATGAGATAATGTACATGAAAGAGCTTTGCAAGCTTTAAAGTCATGCATGCCTGAGGTAAAATAATAGTGATAACAACAATATAATCACAATGAGATAAATCAGCAAGCCTTTAGTAAGGCACAACTCTTGGTGATTTAAGAATTACAACAAAATGCCTCCAGTCAAGAGAGTTATGATATATACATTAAAACCCACAACAAAAAAAGAAGGCAAATAGTATATGCCATGTAATAACAATATAGCTATCCTTAATTGAATATTTAAAGCATACTATCTCAGCACTTTGTAAACATTGTTTCATTTAATCTTTAAAAGAATCTTGAGAGGTAAAAATAGTATGTCTTCTCTATAGATCAGGCAAGCAAGGTTCAGGAAGGTTAAGTAGCTGAGAAAGTTTACACAGAATGTGAAAAGGCTGGAGTTTATATGTACAACTGTATCTTGATTCCCCACTAGGTAGTCAGACCATGAGTTGTATGAATCCAGAGGACAAAGAAAGATGTGTTGGCTTGAAGGTTGAGAGAACACTTTATGTAGGAGGTGGGAGGAGTTGAGGTGGATCGTGAAGAAAACTTAAGTAAGAGTAAATAGGGATCTAATTTTTGCAAGAAGGCGATTACAGAAGAAAAGAAACAAAGAAAATTTATTCCAGAGAAACTGACTGGACTAATTTTACTAATTTGTAGGAGTAGGGGCCAAGGGTGCAGCCATATTGAAGAAGATGGTAATAAGTTAAAACTATTAGTGTATAACTTCAACCTTGACATATATTCAAGTACAATGCAATGATGGTTGTTATTCTTGTTATTCTTTTTATTAATAGTGACTCATATACTTGATGATAACCAATATACTTAACTCTTAAGTGTTTTCCACAGATGCAATCCCATAATCTCACAATCTTGCATAATGTACATTCATTCATTTAATATTTGCAAGTATAGACTCCCTGCTAGACATTGTCCTAGGCATTGAGGATAAAAAGTTAAATCTGATAGTGTCCCTGCTTTCAAGGAATTCACAATTAATTTTCAAGTGGGAATGTCTGCCAAGCAGATAAAACTCTGAGCATAGAGTTCTGGATAGAAGTCAGGGTTAAAAATGTAAATTTTAGAGTTGCTGACATGTGCACAGAGAACATGTACAGTTTCTAGAAAGGAAAACAAAAATAAAATTTAAAAGAGCCACCAAGAACACTTAGAACCTTTAAAAAAGTTTCTGAGTCATACACATGCACACACACAACCTATTTTAGCTAATCTTGCAACAAGGAGGTAATGAGAAATGTTACACTGAGTTCAAGAGTAGTTATTACATCCTGCACATTCCCTTAAATCAGTGGAGTATTGAGTAACTGTGGAGAGATGGTTGTGCTATACGGGTAATCAATATATTTTTAATGATAAGTCTATGATTAAATGCTTCTGAGCTTGAACTGAGTTTTATTTGCTGATAGAAATGTGGATCATTTTCTTAGGACACTCGATTTTGGGAGAGAAGAAAATAGTTCATTCCCAGAGGAAGAGCTGAATTGTACTCAGTGTGTTTGGGACTCATCTCCAGTCCTTCAAGAAGACAAGGAGTTTATGGGGAATTAATAGCAATAAAATCGTACCATCCACATGCTACATAGCCCAGGGAAATTTTTATCCACTCCTATATTGCAGTTGAGCTAACCATGGGAAGTTTCTGAGTAAAAGGACTTAGGGGATCCTGCAGTCTGAGAAGCAGCAACGTAACATGACCCCCCAGGCAGGGGTCCTGAAGGTCATTATCCTTGAGAGCATCCAGGGAGGGAGTCATCCCCACAGAGATGCTGGATGAAGCGATGCTCAGTGGGGAGGAGAAAAGGAGGGAGAGGCAAAGGGCAGGGCTGGAAAGCTGGGGCAGACCCGTGGGTAAGTGGGAAAGACAGAACAGATGGAATAAAACGAGATGAAGCAGCCTCAGGGAAACCCTGAATCACAGAGGATGAAGAAAAGAGTCCACCAGAATCAAATAAAGCCCAGAGAAGCAGCACAGGAGATTTAACAAAGTTCTTTGGTTTTCTTTTCAAAGTCATCAGCAAAGTTTTGGAGTATAGATTTTGATTTTAATGTCTGAGATCACCCAGGTGTTTTGTTAATTGTCTTTTTTGTCTCTGGAAGCTGATCCTGAAGATCAAATTAATTTAGATACCCACACAAATAATTGAGAAATATCTGTTTATTACTTAAAGATCATCTTAGAGAAGTAAACATGGGAGAAAAGAGATGAAATATTATGGCATATGTAAGCTTACAACAATTGATAACAACAAGTTCAGGGGCCTTCTCTTTCCAGAAGCCAATGGCTCCTTTTTGCCTACCAACCTATCCTTCCTTCTTCCATTTGGAAATCCAAGCCCTGCCCTTGAGCTTTGAGTCCCCAGAGTCTGTATATTCCCAAATAGGTAACCACCCTGAACCCACTTATTCTTCCTTGCAGTGTACCTTTGTTTACCCCCTCCTCTTAGACTTTCTTTGATGCATTCATTCAACATGTTTTAGATACCTTCTGTTTACTAGGTGGTGTAGTGCCAATGGCAGCTAAGATGGCTATGGTCTCTGTCCATGTGAAACTTGACATCTAGTGGGAAAGGAAGACATTGTATATGGACACATATAATCATTTAACTATAAGCTGTGTGCTTACACAGGAAATTGATTACAAAAAAAAGTGCCTGGGCCCAGATTGGGTGTCAGAGAGCATATCCCCAAGCCAAGATCCAAAGGGTATGTAAGAGTTAATCATGTAAAAGGTTAGGGGAGTGTTAGAAACAGACAGCAGTGTGAAGGCCCAGAGGCAGCCTGAGGCACAGGTAATAAGGAGAGAACAACACAAGATGAGATGGCCAGGGAGGCAGGGGCAGGACTGTGCCATGGCCTGGGCCAGAGCAAGGCTTTGATCTTTTCCCAACAGGTGACTGAAAGCAACTGAAGGATTTAAGCAGAAGAATTAAACAGTCGTATTTCTGTTTTAAAGGGTCATTCTGGGACAATACACATGAATAAAAATTATTTTTGCATAACAACAACAATAAATGAAATTAAAAATAATTATACACGATGGCCAGCTGGGTTGTTTTCTAGAGGCCAATGTAATCCACAGTATTAACAGGTTAAAGGAGAAAAATCACATGATTGTATCAATCAATGCAGAAAAGCACTTGACTGAGTTTCAACACCCCATACATGGGTAAAACTACTGGCAAAATAGAAATAGAGGGGAATTTCCTCAAACTAGTAAAGAATATTCATAAAAAAACCTACAATTCACATCAGTCATAATGGTGAAAAACTAGATGCTTTCTCCCTAAGGTTGAGAACAAGGCAAAGATATCCACTCTCACAATTGCTCTTCAACAGAGAACTGGACATTCTCACCAGTCAATTAGGAAGAAAACGAGCTAAAAGGCATGTAGTTTGAAAAAGAAGAAATAAACTATCCCTATATGATGATCATAGGATTTCCACCCAGAAATCCCAAGAAATCTACAAAATAACTCCCACAATTATTATGCGATTTTAGTATGGATATAAGATCAGCATACAAACATTCACTTTATTTATATATACCAGGAACTAACATGGAGAAACTGAAATAAAAATACAATACTATTTATAACCACTAAAAGAATGAAATACTTCGGTGTCAGTCTAACAAAACATGTATAGGATTTATGTGCTGAAAAGTACTAGACAGTGACAAAAGACATCAAAAATCCAAATAAGTGGGGAGATATTCCAAATTCATGAGTTGGAAAATTCAAAATAATAATGATGTCAATTCTCCCCAAATACATAAAAAGATTAAATATAATTCTTATCAAAATTCTAGCAGGATTTTTAGTAAATATAGACAATACTATTCTAAAATATTTATGGAAATGTAAAGGAACTAGAATAGCTAAAACAATATTTAAAAGAAAGAATAAGGTGGGAGGACAGTTCTCCCTAATTCTATGAGTTATTATATAGTCATAGTGATTGAGAACAGTCTTATAACTGGAAAAACAGGCAGAGAGATAGATAGATAGATAGATAGATAGATAGATAGATAGATAGATAGATAGATGCAACAGATTAGAGAACCCAGAAATATCTCCACACAAGAACACCAACTGTCGTTTGACTAAGCTGCCAAAACAATTCAAAGGAGAGATAATAGGGTTGTTTGTGTGTTGTTTTGTTTTCTTAACAAATGGTATTAGAGCAATTGAATATCCACAGGCCAAAGGATGAACTGAATTTGACATACACTTGACACTTCATTTAACAATTAAGTTAAAATGGATAACAACTTTAAAGGTAAGGCATAAAATTATAAAATCTTTAGGAGATAACATAAGAGAACATCTTCAATACCTCAGGCTTGGTGAAGAACTCTTAGACATGACACCAAAAACACAATCCAGAAAAGAAAAAACTGAAATATTGAATTTCATTAAAAATAGAAACTTTTGCTCTACAGAAAGCTCTGTTAAGAGGATGAAATGACAAACCACAGACGGGGAGAAAATATCTGCACATCACATATCTGGCAAGGGATTCACACCTAGAATATATAAAGAATTCTCAAAGCGCAACTTTAAAAACAACAACAAAAGATACAGTTAGAAAATGGCTGAAAGACTTGAGATATGGCACCAAAGAGGAAATATGAATAGCAATAAACACCATAAACATGTCAACACCAGGAGCCATTAGGTGGATACAAAGACCAAAATGAGATGTCACTACATACCCATTAGATCAGCTGAAATACAAAATAGCGATGAAACCAAAAGCTGGTGAAGATGCAGATAAAGTTGCTGGAGGGAATGTAAAATGGTGCAGGCACTCTGGAAAATTGTTTGATGGTTACTTATAAAACTAAACATACACGTACTATATATCCAGCAATTGTACTCCTGGGTTTTTCAGAGAAATAAAGACTTATGTCCACATAAGTAACAATTGTTTATTGCAGTTTTGTTTGTAATAGTCAGAAACTGAAAATAAGCAAAATGACTTCATATGAATTAGAGTAGAGGTTGCAGGGGTTAGAGATGGCAGGTCAGTCAGAGGAGAGAGGCAGGGGTGGTGATAAAGGGGTAGTGCGAGGGAGATCTCTGTGGTGACGGAATAGTTCTGTAACTTGATTGTTGTAGTGGTGCTAATGTCAACCTACACGTGTGATAAAATGACATAGCTATACACACACAGTGCACTAACGTCAATTTTCTGTTTTTGATACTGTGCTACGATTAAGTAAAATGCAACCACTTAGAAAATTGGGCACAGAATACATGGGTCCTCTTTGTATTATCTTTGTAACTTCCTGTGAATATAATTATTTCAAATAAAAAGTTGAAAGCAGAGGCCATTTTGGATGTGGCACGTGGAAGGGACTAACGGGAAGGAGTGGTAGACGGTGTGGGGGCAGTAGAGCTGTTGAGCTGACGGTGGGAACTCAGAGTTGAGTCTATGGAAGTTCAGGCATACAAATAATATTTAAAGCCAGGGGATGAGATTGCTCAGGGAGAGGGTAAGAAGGAGAAGAATTGAGGTCTTAAGATCTAGTCTTAAGAAATCCTGCCATTTAACAGGCTGGGTAGAGGACAGCAGGTGGACAAAGGATATTGAGGAGGAGCTGCCAAAGAGAAAAGAGAAAAGCCAGGAGGAGAGGGTGTCAGGGAAACTGAGGACAGAGAGTACTTCAAGGACAGAGTGACTCACAGCACCCAGTGGTCTGGGATACCAGTTAGATTAGAACTGAAAACGACCCTTAGGTTTCATGATTTAGAAGCTACTGGTGCCCTTTCTGCGTGTCTCTCCCCCTCCCATGGTGGGGTGGATTACAGAGCCAGGCGGGGAAGGTAATGGATACAGCAAAGTATATACAATATTTTCCTTGAGTTTGGCCACAATAAAAACAGAGATAGCCATGAAGGAAGGTTTTCATTTGTTTGCTTTTCTGTTTGTTTTGACCTAGAAGAGAACAGACATGAAGATGTGTAAATGCCAATGGAAGGGGATTGAAAACACACAGATGAAAGGACATGACACTGAATCTGAGAAGTTAAGCCTCAAGTTCCAGAGCACCCAGGTGAAGACCCAGCAGATCATTTTTCCACGAGAGACAGAAGTGCCTCTCATTCAGCAATGCCAAACTTTTGGGCTAATGGTGTTTGCAGAACTCAGTTTCCTGGAGGAGTTGAAGGCCCAACAGCATCAATTGTTTTTCTCCCTGCGTGCCTTTTCTGGGCTTTGAAACCTGCCCACAATTTTAATTTTTTTCAACATTCTTTGCATAGGAACGTCTCCCTCTCTTTTTATGTATTTATCTGTTTGGGTTTTTTGTTTGTTTACTAATTTATTTTGAGGCTATTTTAAACATTTTCTTAGGAAGTAATTTCAGTCTTATGCCCAAGTTGCTAAAATGGTCCCAGAAGTTTTCATATACTGCTCTAGCTTCCACAAATGCAACCATAGTGCGAATATCAAAACCAGGAAATTAAAAACAGTCTAGATGGTACCATTAAGCAATCAACAGACCTTATTCAGATTTTGCCAGTTGTCACACTGATGTTCTTCCTATGATCGAGGACCCAGGCCAGAGTCCCACAATGGCATTTGGTTGTCCTGGCTCCAGTCTGAGATCAGTCCTCATTGTCTTTCTGTCCTTCATGACCTTGACACTTCTGAGACCTGTCTCTGAATTTGGGTCTATCGGATTTTTGCCTCGGTTCGATTCAGGTTTGTATGCTTCTCCCTTTTAAGCACTTGGAGTTTGGGAACTGGAATTTATAAAGTACTAATTCATCCTATGCCTGTGTTTCCAGTGAAAGGCGCATTCATTTTTCAGAGGAAAAAGAATCTGCTTCTGGCTCCACCTTTGGAGCTATAAAATTAATTCTTAAAGCAACTAACACAGTACTTACGGTTCATCTCCTGGGTTTTCATGACATATATTTTAAGGCACATGAACTTTTAAGTGTTATATTGTTTAACATAATATTTAAAACAGTTAAGTACCTGAGGTTTCTAAATCCCTATCATTAGTCATCATTAATTCATAAGGAACACAGCTAAATGGTCCAAAACTTGTGCTTAGACCAATTCCTGAATCAACCAAAATTCGTATAGACTAAAGTTACCCATAAGTATCTCCACTGTGTAACAACTTTCCGGGCCAACAAGCAATCACGCAGCATGAAGGGGCTGACTGCCCACGAGATTTGCAGGCTGGGTACCATTGCAAACATTCTCTGAAGCGGATGTGGGAAGCTATAGCTGTCAAGAGGTTCTTTCAAGCTTTTCATTCAAATGCCACATGAGACCTACAACTGGGCTGCAAGTCAGAAGCCCAATTCCAGTTTTCCAACTGCCTACTGTGTCAACTTAGTCATGGAACTTAATGTCACTCCTTCATGCATTCACTTTTTGGAAACTAAGGAGTATCTTCTATGTACTCAGCTCTGTGCCAGGCACTGGATGTCTCATGTTGAGTCAAAATAGGTAAGCAATTGATTGACCACAACGCGTAAATAAGGAACAGTGTTTCAGGTGGGGAGAACAGTGTGAACAAAGCCTTTCAGCGGCAGAGAGCAAGAGTTCTGAAGAAAGACCTCTGTCGCTGGATGGCAGAAAAAATGGGGAGTAAGAGCTGAGGCTGTTGGGTGGGGAAGGGTGAGAATTCAGGAAGCACTGCAGGCATTTTAAGGAATTTTGTCTCATCGTAAGAGTGGGGGAAGGCCATTGAAGGGTGTTAAGCACTGCAATGATGCAATGAGCTTTGGGTTTTGGAAGACCACTCTAACTATAATGAAGAGAATAGTTTGGAAGTAGACAAATCATTTGCAAAAGAGTTCAGACAAGAGGTGATAATAGCTTGAGCTAAGGGCTGGTGATGTGAAGAAAGGCAGTGGCACCTCTGTGGGGTCTCTTCAGGCTGCCAGTGTTCAGCCACTCAGCCCTGTGACCTTGGAGACTTTCCTTCTCTGAGCCTAGGTTTCCTATTCTTTAAAGGAAGATTGTTTAGAGCCTTCAGTTAATAGGATTAAAATGTTTAGAAAAATATCTGGTATATAATAACCACACATACTACATATATACATCCACACACATGCATAACCTTACATATATATATCAAACACATAGGTACATATATATACATGTATACACCTGTATACATAAACCATATATATAACCTTACATTATTTCTATTAAGAAGGTCGGATAAAACTGACAGGACTAGGAAGTAAGGGAGAGGTAAACATGCATATGTCAGTCCTCTTATTTGCAAGCAATGAATACTGACTCTGTTTTATTTAAGTTGAAAGGAATTGATAAGAAGGGAATTAGCAAAGAGAATTTCCACTTCCAGCCAAAATGCAGTAACAGGGACCAGATTTCTCCTTCTGTCTGAAACAAGTAAGAACTGGACAAAATATGTGAAGCAACAAATCTCAAGAAAAGTTTGAGATGGGCCTTACAAATGGGCCCGCTTGCTGCCTTGAGAGAATTCCTTTGCAGCGCAGGGTGGGTGAGCCCAGGAGGAACCTGCTGGACGCCCAGAGTTGAGGTGAGTTCTCTGGGAGTTTAAGGTACCTAGAATTTTCAGGATGTGGTGCCAGAGAGAGAGAGCTACATGGCAAGATAACTCTGGGGACATGCGTGGGGGCCCTCTTGAGTATTCAGTGAGCACTGAGCAGCCCCGAGGGATGAGGAAACTGCCTGAGGTCAGAGAGTGAACACCTGCAAGTCGGAGGATGGCTAGAGGAAATAGTATCTAGAGTCCAAACAAGGTGAGCAATAATGCCTATGCCCAGCCCTACTGGGAAATGCATACTTGAATAGAGTACTTAGAAAGGTCTTCCCTCAGGATGGGGAAAACATTAGCCCTAGACTAAATTACTAAAAAGTAGACTGTGATAAGTTAAAAATGTATACTATATATTATAAATACCAGCAAAGTATACTATATACTATGAATACTAACTAAAATAACAGGATAAAGAGATCTAGCTAAAAAGTCAACAAAGGATATAAGCGAAATCATAAAAATACTCAATGCAGAAGAATGCAGAAACATATGAACTATGTAATAAACAATAGGGAAAAGACAAATAACAAGATGGTAGCTTTGAACTAATCATATTAGTGATTACAGCAACTCTCTACATACCTCAACTTATAAACAGAAGTTGTCCAATTATATGCTGCCTACAAGAAAGCCCACATTCAATATGATACAAATAGATTAAAAATGAAACCATGGAAAAAGATACACTGTGCTAACACTACTTAAAAGAAAGCTGGAGTGACAATATTATCAGATAAAGTATATTTCAAAGCAAAGAATATTAAAAGGGATAAACAGTCACTTATAATGAAAAGATGTCAATTTATCAAGGGGACACAATAATCCTAAATTTATATGCACACAATAACAAAGTTTCAAAATCCATAAGTAAGGAGAAATACACAAATCCACATTTTTAGTTGCAGGTTTCAACAACCCATCTCTCAATATTTGATAGAACAAGAAGACAAAAAATCACTAAGGATATAGAAAGTTAGAAAGCCATTATTAACCCACTTCACATAAATAATATTGATAGAACACACTACCCAACAAGAGTAGAACAGATTTTCAGAAGTTTATCTGAGAGTTGATCCCAGAAAGTATATCTCAATGAGGACTTTTTTAAGCATCATGTAGAATGCATCTCAGAACTGTCCCACCAAAGGACAGTTGGGAATGTCTGTACTTTCATTGCCCTCCCTGTACATGGTTGAGTACCAGAAAGAGCCCTCCTTAGGCAGAGAAGCAGAAAGACTTGAGCTCCTACCACTAGAGATGCAGTGAACTCAGAGGTGGGCCATTAGGACATGTGGTAGGACATCAATCTGTAAAACTGAAAAAAAGTGGAAGCATTGTTAATTTAATTACTGCTAAACATGTTTACCTTATCACATATTAAAATATATTTTCATCAAAACCTTGAAGATACAGATTTCTCATTTAATTTATAAAAAATAATTTCCTATATTGACAAAACCAATACCTTCTGGCAAAATGAGGCATATTTCTGACAGACAGAAATAGTTGAATGTTATTTTTCATTCAAATAAATGTTAATATAGGATTCAAAATTTCATTTGGTAATCCTTGATTTTAATGTTGAATAAATAAGAAATACTAACTAAAACTACCAAGAGATAAACTTCAGAATGCATATTGTAGCAACTTAAACAATTGTAGACATAATATAATTAATTTATTCACTTTATAATAAGTTATTCAAGCAAGAATATGAATTGGTAAGTTGTTTCTCATTATTTAATATATAATAAACTTTTTAGCTAAAATTGTAAATTATTTTTGAAGTGATGTATGATAAAAAGCATGGTGTTTCTTTGGTAAATGTGTTTGTGTGCATATGCTAAATATTGGTATCCACTATGGGGAATACTTTAGTTATAAATTATAAGTATAAATATCGTAAATAATGCCATTAATTTCTAGGTCTCAAGATAAAATGTTTTCTAGCATTTAAAGGAAGAGAAAGCTACCTACTGCTAAAATTCATCAGTCTCAAAGCAAGCATATAATTTTATTTACTTTTTTATTAACAGGAGTAGGAAACACTAAGTGTTGTATAAATAAAATTAGATGGGAATTAACTTCAATTAGAATTGATGTTTAATTATATACTTTCATAATGTGCATTTTAACTGATTTATTAAAGAGATCACACTAAAATCAGAAAGAAAATGTGTACACATTTTATTTGTGATTTTTATCCAGTTTACTTTGGACAGCTGGTAGTTCAAGAAAAACATCAGATGCACTTTAAAAAAATCAGTCACTAACATATACTTCCTTGCTATTTAAGTGCTTTTTCATTCCAGATAATGATATATTTTAGGTATCAATATTGAGGATAGCCTAATGGAATTGCCCACACCTAATTACACATAAAAAGTCATAGAGTATTAGTTAGACATTTTACCTATGATTTGCTCTCATGAACTCACCTCACCCAACCACCACAGACAGAACTGCAGTTTTTGAATTAGTCGGAGAATAACAGAGGCCAAATGGCTAGATGGACATGTTTGTCACTTCTACACCCTCTGTACCAGGTAACTAAGTATCCCATTTTAGCCCAAAGCTTCCTTCTTGACAGAAATGTGT